TCTGAGACTCCCATATCTAAATATACAATCAAGCATGCAAATGTTAGGAGTGACTGAAAGAGGTGGTAGAGAAGGATAGAAAATGCCTCTAACAATAGGATCAAAGCTCACCTAAAGACTGGCCAGGACACACCAGTAACACCTCCAGTTCCTCCAACTGCAAATTCATCAGCACTTCCCTTAAAATCTCTCATCACTTTTCCAGTTCTCACATCAAAAATATTTAGCACAACCCTCTGAAAGAAATCTGTATTAGAGAGGACATAGTATGGCCACAATTGGGTATACAAACAACATAAAGCTGAGACTTACGTGAGTGTCACGAGGGTTACTTGGTTCATGGCTGCTGTATGTCACCAGATATCTCTCACCGGGGGAGAAATCAATCAGCTTTACCTGCATTTAAATTCTGTAGATTTAAGTCACAGAAACCTGCATAAGTTTATTTCAGAGAAATAAGCACAAAACTAACCTGAGGATGTGCATAGCGCATGAGGCGGTTGAAAGTGGTGGCACCACCCCAAATTGCAGCGCCTTGTCTGTGAACTGTTGCCAAGTAAGTTCCCATAGGGGACCATTGAACAAAACTCTCAGTCCAATACTGCACTCAAGAAGACATAATTAGCAAAGATTAGTAATGGCCCATCTGCATGAAAGAAAGAAATATCCTTTGAATGATGAAGGTTCTGTTCAGAAGCATTTCATTTTTTGAAAATATGAGATGCCAAACAGTACAAATAAGAACAACCATGCGTTGACAGCTAAATGAGCAAAACGAGAATACAAGTCTCCTTACAGGACGTTTATAAACAAGCTCAGGCTTCATTTGTCTTGCATCATTCCAGAGGACCTCCGTGTCACCGCCAGACCGAATCACGTACTGATCTCTAGCTTTCTCATCAGTAAGCCACTTTAGCAGCATCTCCTGCCAGCGACACAAACATCTCAGTAATAGTAGATGAATGAAAAACTGACACTAGAATTTAAGACTCCGTGCTGGCTGACGAAAAACACAGAGCTGGTGAAGAGCCTAACCCCTGGAACATAAGGCTTGATCTCTGGTGGAGCCCACTCATCTGGAACTTTCAGGAACTTCTCAATGTCTTCAAACATGTTAACAGCAAATATATGTGACCTATCTAACTTGTATCCATGTGTCTTCTCCTTACTCAGCTCAGCTTCCTAAAGCAGGAAAACATAGCAACATGATGATCATTAGCAAAATGAAATTAGATATGTTCCTAGGTTGTCTAGACACTCCAACAACAACACACGCAGATCCATTTCTACCTTTTAGTTCATAGTTGGATATAACAATTTTTAAAAAGTGGATAGACAAGTGAACAGTGACCAACTTCCTGCACTCAGTAAGCCATGGATCACAACATTTGAACCATATAAGTTCCTCATATCCACATCACACAAGCACGACTTAGAGTATAACAAATCTAGGATGCAGCCAGGACATGTTTATAATCATCATCTAACTAAAGACAGATTATGACACTTCATAATTTCTCAGTGTAGATGACATGGTGCTAGCCTGTGAGCATTTTACTTTTCAGCTGGAATTTCCATTTTTACATCTTTTATCCATTCATAATCACATACCCCTCATCCCAATTTATGTGATGGTGTTTGACTAGGTACGGTGTCCAAGACGGAAAGGAAGACTTCAGAGACTTGTGGTCTAAAATAAGAGACAAGTATTTGTGTGGTTACAAATCATCTCATTAGGGATAATGATGGGGATTTTATAATTAAATTGTTACTAAATATAGAAAGATGTCATTCTTTTTTGGACCGTCTTAAAAAAGAGTGTCACCTAACATGAGACAGAAGGATTAATATTCTTCTTAGGCTAAGTAAGAGATTTGCACATAGAAAGTACTAATCAAAAGTCGAGACAACATATTCATCACCTATCACAAATATAAAGATGGTAGAAGAATTAATAAGTCACATCTCTAAACAATTCAGTTATAAGCCTCAAGCATTCTGTCTATAAAAATGAGATACTCTATGGCTTCTAAAAGAGACAAATTGGAGTACCTGAGGAGTATTATACTCTATAAAGCAGTACCCAAGTGTTTTCTGAGTCTCAGGATCAACAGGCATATAGAGACCACCCTCCTTAATAACACCAAGTTGGCTGTAAATTTTCCGAACTACTCCTTCCAATTTCTCATATTTCTCTTTAGGCACAACTGGAAGATTGTCCACCACCAGTATGTTTCCAAAACCTTGATCCTCCTCCAAGGCGTCCTCCTCCAACAAGTCTTCATCGTCACTGCCCTCGTCACATCCAAAAACAGCACAAATTCAAGACCCATAAAAAGTAATATAAAACATAGCAAATGAGAAACCAAAAATAATTATAGGAAAACTATAAGCGTAAACAAAAGAAACAAGACTAAGCTGAACACATAATAATCGATATATAAATCGAATCAAATCTTCACAACATAATTTGCAAACTCAATAAAAGAACGGTAAGAGAAACCCAGACATAGCAGTCGATATGAAAACTTAATATATTGAACTGGATATGAATATGATAATAAATCCAACAAACTCAAACACCCAGTAAAAACGCTAAAACTTTCTAATCTTTTCAAAACTATCAACCAAAGACATAAATTCAAACTCAAGAAATTAAAAAAAACATTAAGACCTCACCTCAATGAAACAAAAAACTACACACTTTACAGCAAAGTAGCAGAAGCACATAAAAGTGCAAGCAAAAATCAAGATTCAGACCTGGGTATCCCCAAATCATCACCAGGGGGAAGATGAATAGAGTCCAGATCGATTTGTGTAAGATCCACACCAAGCCTATCAGATATAGCTCTGATTTCTTCCATAGAAACCACTTCCGACATGATTGAATTCTGCTTTTATGCTCTTTGCTTAACTTTTTTTCTGTGCTCAATTCGACTATGAGAAGGTGCGAAGATAGCCACTTTGAATTGAAGCTGAAGGAGAAGTTGTGAGGTTAGGCCTTTAGGGATAGAGCGCAATGTGCAGGCACAGGGAGGTAAGTAGGGTTTATAATTCTGCTCCGGGTAAACGGGTCGATTCCGCGGGCACAAATACTATAGGCTTTAACCCTTTAAACTATACCCGTATTCATAATAATAATAATAATAAGAAGAAGAAGAAGAAAAATTTATATTTGAAGAAAAACATTATAATAATATCTTATAACCTTATATAAAAGTGAATAATAATATATTAAATATACATATACATATACATATACATAAATTAAATCAGATATGATATTATAATATATTATATGACATCGAACATAATTTTTTTAATAAGTATATATTATCGTAATATAGATAGATACCATGTGGTTTAGAGGAGACCACCTACGATAACAGATTTCTTTGCCCAAGTTACTATTCTTGGTGCTTAAGTTACTAACCTTGGTGCTCAAGTTGTTCTTCTACTAGAACAATTATAACGATCAAGTAATTGACTTATAAATAACTACGTCAATATGCTGAAAAAAATATGAAAAATTAAATCATGAAGGTCTTGCGTTTCTTTTCTTCATCAATTGTAATTTATAAATTTTAAAAGTATGTTTTATGTCTCCTAAATCAGTACAAAATAGTATTTACACGTTAGTGTGTCACAAAGTCATTCGCTTGTTACTTGGAAGGAGTAGAAACTAATGTCTATGTTTTACAGTGACGTGACCAAATCCGTAAGGTCATGATTTTTTTTAAAAAAAAATCCTTTAATTCTTATTGTTTTAATTTTCCCTTGATTTGGTAAGCATATGAAGTACTACTCGATCGAGTCAATGAATTTAGTCGAATATGATATTATAATATTTTATATTGAATTATGTTGGATAAATATTTTTCTCTACTAGACCTAGAGCATAATTTTCTTTAATAAGTATATATTAACTATTTAATATTGCTAAACGTTTAAATATATATAATATATCCTTGTCTACCAAAAAAATTATTTAATATTGCGTAAATATGTTACATTGTTCACATTATAAAAGTTGTGTGCGTGCACCGAGAAAAAATACATATTACTATCAGACTTATGAGGCTGGTATTTTATAATTTTTAGTTTGGATGAAAAAATATATACGTAATAAAATGTGAAAAATGCAAGATTGTACCTATAAGAATTGATTTGAAAAATGAGGAAAATATTTCTTAGGTCGATCTTGCAGGATTGACGTTTGTTCAAATATATATAATATGTTCTTACAAATAATGTTGGTGTATATACCACAAATTATAATAAATTATAGTTGAAAATAAAATGAACAAAAATAATAAATAATATTCACACTGAATTCTTTTAAAGGAGATTCAACCACATTACCAAAGAAACACTTTTAATATAATTTTTCTCTCTTTGGAATAGTGAATAAGTTGGAGACTTTTGAATATTTTTCTTTATTTCATTACACTAACCTCACTACACACTATAATATTTTTCCACACCTTCCATAATTTTTATTATACTTCACAAAGAAAAAAGCGTCACTATTTATAGGAGTAAAATTCTTTTTATGGATTAAATAACAAAGTAATGGAATAATAATATTATAGAACATGGATTAGCGATGAATAAAACATACACTTTTGTCAATTTATATCAACTATGTATACACTCAGTATTTTAATTTCAGACATGAACACATGAGTTGCAAAGCATCAAGAAGAATGAAAATATTAAAGACGTATTAAGAAGAAAACAATTCGTGAAAAAAATATAAAGAAGGCAAGTGATATCATAATAAGGTTTTATTTAAAAAGGAAAATTAAAAAAATATGTTCAACAAATAATTTTGTTATTATTTTACTTCCATCATTAGAAATCCTAACTCAACAATATTTGTAACACCTTTTCTTTTCCTTCTCAGGAGTATGTACCATAGTTTTACTGCTATATCTCTTTTTTCCTATATATTCATGGTTTTGGTTTGCCTGTCTGCTTTGTAATTCTTCCCGCCAGCCATGGCTACCAACATTTCTGCTTCTGCTTCTTCCACCACCAATCTACTCAACCAACGCCTCTTCTCGTTTCCACCTTCTCAATACAATAAAAACATCCTAATTAAACCATACCAACAACAATGTCCTTTAATCAGTTCTTCCAATAAGAAGAACAGGGCAGCTATGGTTGTTAATTCGTCGCGTAAATTAATCAATTTGGATCAACATGATGATTATTTGGACGTCGACGACAAGCCTAAGGAAGAGTGTGGAGTGGTTGGTATCTATGGTGATCCAGAGGCCTCGCGTTTATGTTATTTGGCGCTCCACGCCCTTCAGCACCGTGGTCAGGAAGGTGCTGGTATGGTTACTGTTGAAAATAAAGTTGTTAAATCGGTTACAGGTATTGGATTGGTTTCTGATGTGTTCAACGAGTCGAAACTTGATCAACTTCCAGGTGACATGGCTATTGGTCATGTTAGGTATTCTACTGCTGCTGGCTCTTCTTCAATGCTGAAAAATGTTCAGCCTTTTGTTACAAGTTCTAAATTTGGATCTTTTGGTGTTGCACACAACGGTAATTTTGTGAATTATCAATTGCTTCGTGCTGAACTTGAGGGGAAGGGGTCAATTTTCAGTACCACTTCTGATACGGAGGTGGTACTTCATCTTATAGCAAAATCAAAGGCGAGGATTTTTGCTTTGAGGGCTCTTGAGGCTTGCGAGAAGCTACAGGGAGCTTACTCACTGGTGTTTGTGACGGAGGATGGTAAGTTAGTTGCAGTAAGGGATCCGTTTGGATTTAGGCCATTGGTTATGGGTAGGAGGAAGAATGGGGCTATAGTTTTTGCCTCGGAGACATGTGCTTTGGACTTGGTTGAGGCTACGTACGAAAGGGAGGTTCATCCTGGTGAGATGGTGCTAGTTGATGATACTAGTAAAGAACCTCAATCAATGTATCTCCTGAAGCCTCATCCTCCTGAGCCTAAATCTTGTATCTTTGAGCATATTTACTTTGCCCAGCCTAATTCAATAGTATTTGGGAAGTCAGTGTATGAATCTAGACATGCTTTCGGGGAAATTCTAGCTACAGAGTCCCCTGTGGAGGGCTGTGATGTTGTGATAGCAGTTCCAGATTCAGGTGTTGTAGCAGCACTTGGTTATGCAGCCAAAGCAGGGGTACCATATCAACAAGGCTTAATAAGATCACACTATGTTGGCAGGAAATTTATCGAGCCGTTTCAGAAGATTAGAGATTTCGGGGTGAAGCTTAAGCTCTCACCAGTTAGAGCAGTATTGGAAGGGAAAAAAGTGGTGGTTGTGGATGATTCAATCGTTAGAGGAACGACTTCGTCAAAGATTGTAAGGATGTTGAAGGAGGCAGGGGCAAAAGAGGTCCATATGAGGATTGCAAGTCCTCCAATTATAGCTTCTTGTTACTATGGGATAGACACTCCTAGTACAGAGGAATTGATATCTAACAGGATGAAAGTGGAGGAGATTAGGAAGTTTATCCGGGCAGATTCTTTAGCCTTTCTGCCAACTGATAGCTTTCGTAAGTTATTAGGCAGTGATCATACAAACTTTTGTTATGCTTGTTTTTCAGGTAAGTATCCACTCTACCCAAGCGTGGCTATGGAGGAGTCTATAGATGATACAATGAAGTTGACAGTAGCTGCTAATTAATTTTTTTATTTTATAGTAGTAGTATTCTTGAATGATTATTTGCACTTGCAGAAAAGAAAGAAAAGTTTCCCAAAGTGCGTGCATATTTTATTTCATTTACAATGTTGTCCAGGCTATATCATTTTTTTTTAAGTACAGACAAATTTCTTTTAACTTTAACAATACCAAGTTGAGATCAATTGCACCTAGCATGATGTTCAATCTAATATTCAATTCTCAAGAACGCTCAAGGCAGTAACTCACACGTCACAACAACAAAAGCACGTCAGGAAACAGGACATATTTAGTAAACAATTGCAATCACTGTTCACAATTTCACCGACCCTGCCTGAATCTGATAAACATATATTCTTCTGCACAACAGATGAACCTCAAGCTTCTACAATGGGGAAACAACAGTTCTTTTTCCTGTGTTTATGTTATTAGTAGTACAAAATCTCCTAAAGATAGTTGGTCCACGAATACCTAGAAGCTTCTAACACACCATTAACATGTAATGTTCTTATCTCATTTTTATCTAATCTTAAACATAGTCACGTCCAACTCGGGACTAAGTGATTGGCTTGGATGATTAGTCAGATCTTGACTCGTCAAAGAAAAAGCATATACATGAGAGGCTTATGACTCTACTCCATATGGGAGAAGGGCAGCAGCCACAATCCTACCTTCTTCGTTTAGAATATTGTAAGTTGATGCAGCATTTCTCTGTAACACAGATGAAATAAGGAATGTAAGCAATATAAAATGGATGAGAGAAAGAAGAAAAAACTCGGATCAAGGAATATGACAATATGTACAACAAAAAACACGATATATGCGGTTATCTAATAAACAACAGGCTAGAAAAGCAAGCCTTTAGAGTTCAGAGAGCAATTACTCTTTCAAGTGAGTAGTCTGATATCAATCTACCAAAACATGTGTCATTCAGTTATAGGCACAGAACACCTGAGCAGAATATTTTGTGAAGAATCACATGAATAGGAAATAGTATGTTCAAACCAAATTGAAAATTTAGAGAAGAGGGAGAGAAAAGCCACTTTCAAAACATTGGCTAATATCTTGACATGTTTATGGCTACCATAATGCTCATTCGAAATTTACTAACCAATAAAAAACACTAAACAAGTTAAACGAATCTAGTTGTGTTTAAACTCCTTTGGTCTGGGTCCAGGAATGTCAAAGAGATCCACCTTACATCTTCCAATTGTAGTTTTGGACAAAAAGTTCCAGAGATGTTGAGTCAATGGTGGGGGTATGAGCAGTAAACAAGAATAAATATTGCTCAGAACTTCTATGGCTAACCATCTCATATATCCACACAATCTGATAACTACTAAATAGTGCATAAAGGATGACATATCCCCTTCCTTTGGCACATCATTTTTCATAATAAACAAAGAACCATATACTTACAGAATCAACTGCTTCCAATTTCATTCCAGTAGAACGAATAAAGGCACGAAGCTCAGGATTTACCGGTTGAATGTACTTCCCACAGCCAAGAAGAAGAATTTCTGCAGTGAAGTTATATTAGAAAGAAAGAGAAGCATGAATACCAAGAGTACTATAAACTTAAGAAGATAATCATTCCTCGACAAAAACAGGAACAGAGTCAATACTCATTAGATTAAATGAAAATCAAATTGGAGTTGGATTTTCTGCATAATTCTTATAGCTGTTGCTTTCGGGATAGCTTGCATGCACTGATTATTCCACTGGATACCAACTACCTCTCACCACACAGATACCAGTTATAATTCTGCCCACCAAGAGTTACCAAGGTTTTCACCCACTTCATTAACTGCAATGTCACACCCTTTGGTGAGGACTTTCTCAACATCTTATGCTGAATTTTCCCTCTACACCAAACTCTTCAAAGCTAAGGGTGTTGTTGGACATCCACAATTCTCCTACTAATAAAGGTCAAACAAATACTGAATCCTGTTCAAGTTAATTACGTTTTCCAGTTTTGAAATGAAATTCTATTTCAAGTATTGGAGAAGTCAAAAAACCACACACCCTTTATGGCAAGATATTTTGAAAAAGTCTATCCACCCTAACCACCAGGCTGTTTCCACTAACCAGTTATTGGCAAAGATAAAGCAAATGGAGGGGAATATCAACACAGCACAGCTGCAACCTATGTTGCTCGGACTCTTTCAAAATGTCGATGGTTGCGTGTCAGATCCTCCAAAAATAGAGTATTTTTGAAGGATCCGACACGGGTGTGGCATCATTTTGGAGAGTCTGAGCAACTTCGGCTGCAACTATTCTTTGCTTATACAGAAATTTACCATCATTTTTCAATTAATAAAGGCTTAATACATAGATTACCCCCGAGCTTTAGTGAAATCCCTGTTACACACCCCTTGACCATGGGGAACCTTTTATACACCAAAAGTTTCAAAAAGTGTGCCTAAAAACACACTGTTTTAGTTATGTGGCACTCGTGTGTAATACACATACAAGCAGTGTTTTGGATGGCGAAAGGCGACAAGGGTCTGCCTTGCCACAAGGCGAGGCGAGCGGCGAGGTGCTTGCCTTTTTGAAATGCGATACCAATTAATACCAAAAAGTTAAAATATTTAATTGCATATGTAAATAATCAGATTCTCAATAGCAATAACATATTAGCAAATATTTCAATTCAAAAACTGAAAATAGATTGTACATACTAAAAGTCTAGAACTTGAATGAGAAAAAAACAGAACAAAAGTCAAAACAGAGGTAGAAGTGACTCTAAAGTATGAAGAAGAAGAAGAAGAAGGACAAAGAAACCGAGGAAGATGAAATCTGAAGAAGAAATATGTATTGGTTGGACTTTGGAGTAGCCGGAGGAGTCTAGTCGAAAACCATAAAAGTACCTTATAACTTTTAAAACCCTAAATTGGTTGCATTTTTTTTAAGATAATACAAAAGGTGACACCTTTCCCGCCTTTCTTGCCTCTCGCCTTTTGTCTCCATGGCGTCACCTTTTGGAGATTGCCTCGCCACAAAGTTAAAAGGCGATGAAGGGTCGCCTTGCCTCGCCTCTCGCCATTGGCGATGAGGCGATCACCTTTCACAACACTGTATACAAGAGGCGAGCGAATGCAAAAAAGAATTATATCAGATGCTTTATATGAATGCCACGTGTCTAACTTTAATTTTTTCCCCTTTTTTCATTTCACACAAAAGAACAGATAAAGCAAAAATAGCCCACAACCCTTCCCCTCACGTCTTCTCCCCCACTTCTCTCCCCATCTTCTTCCCCAACTCTCTCCCCCCTTTTTTCCGTCTTCCCCCACCCCTGCAATTGATCCCTCCTCTTTTGTGTCTTTTAAAAATTCGTTATTGCTGTTCAAAATCAGTGGAACTTTTCCCTTTTTGTCTCTTTTTGGGCTCAATATGATTAAGATATGGGAAAAGTTAATGACAAAAAACAAGGGATGGTCGGAGATGGAATATCAGGCGAAACTCCGGTCGCTGAGTTGGTTAAGTCCCAACTCCAAAAAGCTAATAAAGTTGGTTTTTTGAGACAGCTAATAAAGTTGGTTTGAAAAAAACATTTAGATAATTCTAATTTTTTGGGGAACTTTGCTCTCAGTTTGACACCATGGTTGGTAGCCGAACCAAAATCTGACGAGCTGGGTGGGAGTTCCCTTAGTTTTCCTTTTTTTTGCTCAGCTGGAGATATTTTTAAGACTAACTAATGACACATGTCACCACCTTATTGGTGTGTGACATTCACCTATTTAAATGAAGTGGTCAACCATAATAGTGATGTGCATTAGACACAATTCTTGAAACATTTGGTGTGTAAAAGATTACCCGTGGTCAAGGGGTGTCAGGTGTGTAACAGGGATTTCGCTACAAGATCAGCGGCAATTTATGTATCAAGCCATTAATAATAGGTTTACCCATAAAATATTTTAAGAGCAGCTAGAGCATACTTTCTGTCAATATATTTTACCTAGTTTTTCTTTTTATCCATCAGAAGAATATTTAACTACCATGAATACTAATAGCTACTTCTCCAAGATCTTAAATCAGTATAAACCAACAATATTTTTTACTACTGACTTAGTGCTTTGAAACAAACTTCCAAACGTATTAAAACCTTGCATTTGCCCTTAGGGCTTTGGTCTAGGGTTAGGCATCGTCCTGAGTTTGAACCCACAAGGCACAGACAACATGGTATTTAATTGGAGAAGGGTAGAGGATTGGTCCATTATCCACCGAGTTTTAAATTATGTACCACCAGCCCTTGGGGTTTTCCCGGTTATCCAGAAAAACATAACAAACTTTTCACCTTTAAATGATTGGTTAAGATTTAAAATCTTTAACTACCTTGAGTTACAAATTCAAGCTAATTTCCTTGAGTTCAAACGATACTAGTATCAATATATAAAAAGGGTATATAAATTTCCAGAAATGATCTGTATCAGTGAAGAAATATTTGCTTATGTCAGATGGAACATTGAGTTCAGACAAGAGAACCCAAACAAGTACAGTACAACAGTAGTATATCCTTCTCAAGCAGGAAATTGCACCAGACAGATTTACAATCTTACGGTGTGATGTGATGTGCACGTTATAACTTGACACAAACTTGCATAATGTTCCCCTTCTTTTTTCTTTTTTCTTTTTTTTGAGAAAGGTAATGCTGTAATAGAAATATTTCCCCCTTTTACGTGGAAGACAAAATGAGATAAAACTGTGTACTGCTGAAAGATTTTCAAAACATTTCAATTGATGTTGCTAATTGGAAAGGAAAATAGGTAAAAAGATTTGCAGTCACAGAAAAACATAAAACTTGATTGGTCTCAGCAAGAAAAGGAACAAGCAATATTTTGAAATCATATTACTTCATCAAAAAAATAAAAGGAACAAGCAATGAGACATGCAAGGTCCACTTCTAAAAATGTTGTACATGAACATGAAGGTAAGTGCAGAGAAACATCAGCTGAGCATAGTATTCTTCAACAATAGACCGACTACTACTCACCTGGAACTGGTCG